GGAGAGAGAGGGAGAGAGAAGTCGCGCGTGAGGGAGGTGCGTATCGCGCGTCGATCGCGTCCCATTGCTATTGACATTTTCGTTATCTGCGTTACGTCGCGCCGTGTATTCGCGCGATATCGCGGATATATATCTCGCATATACGTCGTGACACACAACGTCCCACTGTCGCGACGAGAAAGAAGAGAGCTCGCGGCGGCGAGCGAGCGAGTGGCATGGCGAGTGGCCCGCGAGCGCGATATTAAAGCCGGATCAATAAAATGACTTATCCCTATTGCCGCGCATCACATTGCACACAGCAGCATGACGTTTTCGCGTCTGCTGGAGCGCGCGATGATTTCACGGGAAAAAAGTTTTCCACGGGAAAACGCGAGAGATCCTCCTGTCGCGGCAGGAGAAGAAAAGGAAAGAAGGGGGAGGGGGAAGGGGGGAGGGATCGACGGTCCTCCTCGGAGGCCCAAAAATGCCGAGGTTCCGGGCAACTCCGTGCCCGCGGAGGCACCTGCTCTCGAGGAACAACGAGCGTGCGGCTTTTTAATTTTAATTACACAGAAAAGCCGCCTCGCTCGCATTCGGGGAACGATTATTTTTTTCTCGCCCCCACCCTCCGTAACCTACCGCAATATTCTGATTTTTAATTCGTCGCACAATATGATCAAGCATCGGGGATTACATTTAGATCCTATTAAAGTTGGAGCCCCACTTGAGACTTCGTCTACCTTCTCTCTTGGAGCTGGATCTGCTAAAAGGTATTCCCTTTTTCCATCACGTGATACCGCTTACATTTTTAATATTGTGTACTTGTGCGATTAAGGCTTAAATTAAAACGCCATTAAACGCCCGCATGTAATTAATTAAAGAATATGCCTTTATTTATCTATCCTTTTTCTTTCCGCCTTTTTCTCTTTCTCTGTCTTTCCGAAAAACGTTCGGTCGATCAATGTTCCTCAATTTGTAATGCTGTATCATTACAATAGTTACTTGTTATAATTAAAAAATAAGTCAAAGACTCGATAGATTAAAAATTAATAGGAAATATTAAGAGATTCGAAAGCCAACTTGAATCTTATTCCTAAATTAATGTTATGTAATTATTATTTGGAATATTTGATCGTCCTAAAACTGTAGATACCTCGGTGTTTCTACTGAAGAGAAAAGGATTCCAGATTGCCTAAGAAATCCGCAATAAAAAAAAACTGTTGGTTTCCGCATGAAAAGTACTGAATAATTTATATCCACCGCTGAAGCGGCAAAAGCGCATAACATTTTAGACACAAACATGACAAATAAAATTCAACCTTTATTTCTACATTCAAAGCGCAACGGGTGTCTTACAATCTCTACTTTCTTCCGTAGCAAAAAAGACGAGTGATAGATTTGATCTGTAAAATGCTCGACTTTCTCGACAGCCGGTGTGAGCGTCTTTTTTCTTTATGGATATCCATCTCTTTCTGGGACACGCTCGTCCTTATATGCGATATTATATTCCAGTTTTCGCGGAAACATTGAAAAAAAAATCACCGCAACCGATGGTACTTGACATCGTCATGTCAAAACTCAATTTTTTCTCTATACGGGAGTATCATCAACAGGCAAGAGAAATTCTTGACCTCGCGGACAACGTGTTGGATTTCAAAGGAAGGCAAAAGAGAGCGAAAAGGGGGAGGAAAGAAGAGAGAGAGAGAGAGAGAGAGAGAGAGAGAGAGAGAGAGAGAGAGAGAGAGAGAGAGAGAGAGAGAGAGAGAGACG